AGGTACGATTGTGTTAAATCAGTGTAAAACGTTTGCTATTGGTCAAAATTCATTTTGTTTGCCTCTGGATTGGTTGTATGCATTAATCAGTTTAATCGCCCTGACGATACAAAAACCCGTGCTTATTTTATATAACTTGAAATAATTCATAATGTTTGAAACTTTCTCTAGTCTGTCATGGTTGGATTGTGGTCATGAGCCAAGAGAGCGGAGCTTAACTGCAAAAATTCGTATTTTTCTACAAGAAATAAAAAACATGTTTTTGAGTATCGTGTTGTTCAAAGAATACTATGTATATTAAGAAAAAAACAAGTGATTGATCAGGGAACAGTTCATGGGTTGATAACATTTTTGATAATTACAATAATGTGCCAAAATACACAAAAAAATCACTCGAATTTTCCAATTTTCAAGTCTCAGAAAAATTCCGCTACGTCTGGCAATACTGGAAACAGTACTTGTTAAAAATGGAGCTCCTTTGTTATTGATATATCCTCAAACCCAAAAAGACCATGAAGTCCAAGCCATTTCTATCTGTTGACTCCCCAGTGTAAATTTTGGAAAATTGTTGGGTGTAAGATGTTTTTTCGGACTTTAAGGGAAAAATGGGAGAAAACTTGAATGCAGTTAACACGTTGTCAATTTCTTTTACATGTCAGAGGGTTAGAACGTAATAATATCTAAAAATGAAATTTTGTAATTTTTCTAGGTTATTAAATATATTCTATTCTATTCATTAACACTAATTTTTTCTAATAAAACGCACAAACTCGCTTAAGTTATGCCCCTTAATTTAATTTAATTTAATTTAATTAAACCTCGTCGCTGCCAACCGTATTGAACAAAAAACCCAAATAGGGCATATTTTATTTTACTTTTTACCGCAAACATGCAAACAAATTGTTGATATTTTTAAATTTGCAAAATATATCGAAAACGTAACCTAACTTATCACATGCCACCATTGACATAGCTGTCACAGAATTATATTGTTATTTTTACCTGATAGTTTCTACTTTACAACAGTTTATTTTTTATTACCATTTTCAAATACATATCGATATTTCAGTTTTCCTCTATTGTTAAATATTTTCTATATTTAAAGTTGATAGTTATTGCGATTTTTTTAATTTTCTAAGAGACACATCGAAATATTAGAGTGAGGACAAAAAACAGAGTAAGATATTGTGATAACCCAAACTTCCCGCCTTAAATTGACACTTGAAAAAAAGCTTGAAAGGCCCGCGAAAAATTCAAAAATTCAAAATTTGGCCTTGGCTGTGATCGTCTAACAAAAGGAACTTACGTTGTGTTTTTTTTTTAAGTGGCGGGAAGACGTTCTTGTAAGTCGAGAGCGCAAGAAATAATAGGCAAATTTTTTGGGAGGGGGCTAAAAATCGCACCCCTCTCTAGGAGGAAAAGGAAAATTACTGAGGTTAAAATTGTGAGATAGAGAAATATTGTATGAGGTGAAAAATCGCAAAGCTAGCAAAATTCACATTAGATTAATACTTGCCACACTTTTATCAACGATTCAAAGAAAGAGTTTACATTGTGTCAAATTATGTCATGATCCAAGTGATAGGTTTCTTAAAAACAGTTTACTTTGAGAGTTTATAATACCGTGAACTGGTTACCCCAACAAAACATAATAAATATACACAAAAATATCCAGGCATCGTTGCGAGGACATGCCTCGGTGGTGTAATGATGATAACGATGATAACTGCCAAAGGGAAGATATTATTTTAAACCTCCGCCAGTTCACAGTATAATGAACTTGTTTAACTGCCGTAAATGAACTATTAGCAATCTTGTGTGAAGAATTAAGAAGTGTTATAATGTAACACTTACGTATTAGCATCCAGAAACTTATTAGTAATTAAACAAACAAATATGTTATCCTGACTAAGTGAATTTCATGAAATCTTCTAACAAATGGTTTATTTAAATAATCCTGATTGTTAAATTGCGTTAGCACTAGTTGACGATTAAACTCCTAACCTGAACTGGGAATTTACAAACAATGAATCAAATTTACACGTGTTGGGGGAAAACTGTGACGTCATCGTTACGATTAATTTTCGTTAAACAAAGGCTTTCTCTCTTTTATTAACTGTCAAACCAACTAATTCAACCTAGCCACTTACAGCGTCTTTTCACCATGCATCCACTACGCCAAACAAAAAGTAATGAATCACGCTTTCATCATGTTCTCGCCATGCCGCTCTCTTGTCAAGACCAACTACCGCCCTCTAACTGAACATGCAGAACTACCAACTACCCCCAAGCGCTAACGTGCACATGATTGCCTATGTTGAACGATTTTTGATTGATTTTTTTTTCTCAAATTCAAATTATTCAAATGTGATTTCGCGCCGCTGTTAATTAATTTCAGCGCGAAAATTTGATTCAGATTCGGCCACCACAAGAGTGTTTATAAAAAAAATTGTATTACAATTTTCAAATACATATCAATATCAATATTTCAGTTTTTTCAAATCGAACATCCTCTATTTTATTACTGCATCTTACTTTATTTTTTGTTAAATATTTTTACTTTTTTAAGAAACACATCTAAATATTAGAATAATGAAAACAAAAAATAGAGGAAGATACACTAATTAATTCTGTTGTAAAAAAAAACCTAAAATACTATTCTGTTGTAAATTGTAAAGTTTTACAATTTTTCATAAACACTCTGCATATTAAAATTTGATTTAATTGATACCACAACAAATCGCGTGCCTTTATTTATCATTCAACAAAATATAACACAGATTTGGAAATTACCCTAGTGTGAATTCGGTGAACTCTTGCTTTGCTAAAAAATTTCAAGAAAATAGGAAACACGTGGCAACCTCGCATCGAAATAAAAAAAAACTGTGGTTGTAAAGCCTGATAATATATCAACCAAAATATGTAAAAATATACAGGGTGTTTCATTTGAACTAAGTTGTCTGTTATGCCCTAAAAACAGAACACACTATATAGTTAAAAACAATTTTAGTCCATAGTCCTCAAAATACCGTACAACTTTTGCATTTTCTTGACCTATCATGACCCCTAGAGGACGAAGAAATAGGTCTCCCGTTTCCGTCTGTCTGTCTGCCTGCCGTCCCGAATTTTATTAGACAGGTAATCTCCGAAAGTCTGGGCTAATTGTTGTCAAATTTTGTATTTATATTAGGTATTTCATGTAGATGGTAAAACGCTAACCAAAATTTGTCTAATCATTCCCACCGCTAATGTGATGACGTCACTTCAAAATTGTACATAGTAATTGGGTTTTAAATTGTATCAAATAACATAGTCTTACACATGTAGTTTATGACTCCGAATGGAGATTTTACCCGAAACGTCCAGATTTTTGGAAAAAAAAATCAAAATTAGGAAACAACATTTTGACATTTAATTTGGAATCTGCAAAACCGAATGCTTTGAAATCTTGCAGATGGTTTACAGTTACGATAAGCATGATAAGGTTTTATTCAAAATATATTTACTTGTCCCCTCCAAAAAATTGATGACGTCACCTTAAAAGTTTGCCGAATAAATCCTATCTAAAATGTATAAAATGTGATGAGACTATACTTGTGATTTATCATTACATTCATATTTTTGGATTTGCATATACAGGGTGACTCAAAAAATTTAATGAATGCGTGAATATATTTTATTGATTTAATCAACAACTACAAAACCAAGTGCTTTGAAATCTTGAAGATGTTTTAAATTTATCATAGGCTTGGTAAATTTTTGATCAAAATATATTTGGTCATCCCCCCCTAAAAAATTGATCACGCCACCCCAAAATTTTTCCGAAAAAATGCTATCTTAAATGTGCATTGTGCAAAGTAGGATGAGTCTATACTTGTAATTACAAGTATAGACTCATCACCTATCACTGCATAAATATTTTTTAGATTTGCTTAAACAGGTGACTCAAAAAAATTAATGAATCAGTCAATTTATTATTGATCAAATTAAGAACGAGCCACCCCATTTTCTGGAAAATGTGAGAATAATTATAACAATAAAATGATGATAACGTAAGAATTATACTAACATTCAGAATATTTTGTTCAGTGGAGGCTTATGAATAATTTTAGTCAACTGTTTTGGGGCGATAAACTCATTCAAATCAAACAAATGTCTACGTGACATTCTTCCGATGTAATGTATTCTCGTTCATAATGTGCTGTAAATACATTTTTTGCACTCATAACCTTTTTTACATTCAAATTCTAATTTATTATGCTCACAAGTGTCTGTGTGAAAACGAAAATTAAACATTTTTGTTGTTTAAATTTCCACCTGTCAGAATTCTGCCATCATTTATATGTCATCAGTTTAACGTCATTTGTTAGAAATATAAAGAATGCAAACACTTATAAAACTGTAATGCAAAACATTCCTAAATATTTCCCAATTTTTTTTGTAACATAGTATAGGTATACAGTCGTGGACAGAAAATCGTGCACTTCATTTTTCTGTATCTACCCTTGTCACTGTGTTAGTGTTGTGTTTTTACTTTTACTTAATGAAGCTACTGCCACCGTTTATGGAGACACATGTATATTTGTAAAAGCTCTGATGATGTTAAATTCGTTAACAAAACATGAGTTTTAGGTTTCGTGTTTTCTGACTGTTATACCGGATGATTTTTTAAATTTCTGATCTAGGCATCCAAAAATTTGTTGATAGACCCAATTCGGTCCAAAAGTAGGTCTTATCTTTCTTTTCGTTGTATTTTACAATACAAGCATCGTGTCCCGACAGAAACTGTGTGTTCTAAGATACTACCTACGTAATTCGATGACTTAATGGGCAGCAGAAATTTAAAAAAATCATACGGTATCATTGCTGTGCAATTTCATAACGAGCCACCTAATCTTTTTAAATAATCAAAAAAAGCATTAATTAAACAGCTGATAAAAATGGCTGGAGGTTTTTTTTTTTAATGTCGTTATGTGATAATTACCAAAAATGATATGCCGTTGTAAAATATAAAAACCCAGAAATACATTTTATTAACATTAAATATTGTACAAAGCAAACGAAATTGTAAATTTAACAGATGAATAGCTAATTACAAATAAATCCAGACTTGTAGTTTTATATAACTCCCTCAGGTACTGCACGTGACTGAACCGTATGTAAAAAGATTGTTTATCCAGTGCACATACAGAAAAAAGTTATAAAAAAACGTCAACCCAAGGAGTCAAATAAACGTTTTTGAAACTGTACGAGAATAACTACACTAAAACTGCTTAATTACAAACTGTACAAATTTATACAAAAATGTGTTTGTGTTCTAAACAATGCTATAAGTACTAACGTTTCTTCTAAATGAAAAATATTCATTTGTACGTTGTGTTAGTACATTAGCTATTTCATAGAATAAACTACATTTATAACTTTGCTTATTACGGTTATTTAACTTATAATAAATTCTTGTATGAAAACTTTAAGGCTAAGCAGAATTTACTATTTACAGACAGAACTCTCGACCGAACGTAATCTGGCACATACTCGTGTCCAAGAATATCACTTTCTAGTATCCACCTTGAAAATTGCCACGCATATTACCTCGCATTTTATGACCTCTGTTCGGTACGCCTCGACCGAAGCCTCGGCCTCTAAAATTATTAGCCCCTCTGAATCCGTAGGTCCCTCGTCCTCTTCCCCTTTGCATCCCCCGATTATTATAAACCGGCCCTCCTCGATTCCCCCTACGAAAACCCATATTCATGTTACAGTTTTGTTGCTTTGGTATCCAATTATTGGGCGGCGGTAGATTGGGGGGCGGAACGTTAGCAATATGAGGGGGTATACTGATTGTTGGAGGGGGTTGATCAAAACTGATCCTGTGATCAGGATCTTGCAAGCTTGCCGTAAATTCGTTAGAATTCAATTCATTATCAAGATCGTCAAGGAAAGTATTGGCGTCCACGTCATCTGGAAGATCTGGGAAAGGAGGAGGTGGCTTTAAAGATGAATTGTTCACTGCACTGCTATCACTATTTACAATAACTTTTAAATTTTCTCGGTGGTCTTGATGTTCTTCGTTCTCATCCTCGCTTAATTCCATATCGATACTTTCGATATTGTCCATTAATTTTCGCGGAGACGGTACTTTGTTTTTGGGAAATTGATTCGAAAGCACTAGGGGTTTCGGTGGTGGCGGCGGCGGAGGCGGCAATTTCAGTTGTTCAATGTTAAAAGGAGGCAACCGGTAATCTTGATCCGCATTTATGGCCGACATATCGTTTCGGTAATCCTAGTTGTATTAAAAAAAAATAACAATAATTAAACTGCGCCTTTTCAACTAAATTATACATACTTTATCCACGACAGACGTGTTCCAAATATCCGTCTGAACAGGGTTACTTGAATTCGTATCCGACGGCGAACCAGTCAAACTTATTAAATTGCGATGGTCTACATCTTTACCTCGACCCCTGATGTCTTCTTAAAAGTTAAAAAAAAGATCAATAAATATTTAAATTTATTACGGATATTATCAGACAACAGGGAAATCAGTTTTCTACCAACATAAATAAACTGCTTCAACTTTCCACGACATTCAACTGCTTTGTTTTGAATACGTAAAAGAATAAACCCTAGAATAGTCGATAATAACCATAAATACCTAATTCAGTTGACAGGGTGTGTAGAATTCTGTGATCGACGTCAGCTGCCCCACTCGTCACAATAGTATCATGATATTCAACTCCTTCAACATAACCTTCCTTTTCAAAAAGCGGCGGACTTTCAGGTGTGTCAGTATCAAGCTGAGATTGTGTCCAACTGGCATCTGGTTCCCATGTTTCCGGTTCTTGTTCAGGGTTGTACTCCTCGGCGTTGGGTGGATAAGAATTCGAGCCGTTTGAAGTGTTAAAAGATTCTGTTTGGTGGTCGAAACCTAAGATATTAAATATATTTGCTGTATTATTTATTGATCTTCAACTTTACTCACCATAATTGGCTTTGTCCGCTGAAGAATAGGCTTGGTAAGGATTTTCGTAATCCGATTTGGCACTAAATGGAGGCATTGGTGGCGGTAGCAAAGGTAGGTGGCCTCCTTCTTGATAGGGAAAACGAGCCGAATCTGAAGATGCCTCGATTGGTGGCGGTGGCGGTCGACCAATTGTTTGTAAAACATTTGATAGGTCGACGTTCAAGTTAAAGCTGCTGTTATTTACTTCTGACAAACTGGCATTTGCCCCTGTTGTCGGGACGTTTGTAAACAAAGCCGATGTGCTTAGTTCCTTAAACAAAAAAATTGATATAACGGTGAGCAGGTCAGAATTGAATTGTTTGAAGGAGCCTAGATTAATCTTTAAATTCTTCCACGAACCCCCTAATTGCAAAAAAAGATTCAAACCCATGAGCGCATGTTGCCGTTCCTCTAGAAACTCATTGCGCCACGAAGACTTGTATCTGGTGTTGGTAGTATAACGTTATTATACCTTGCAAATGTTTTTGCGAAAATTTGACCGTTTAGCGAAAAAATTGAAAGCGGATTCGTACACACAAGATTGGAGTATATTTTTGTATAACATTCAAATTATTTTAAAATAAAGTTCATTGCGATGACGTCATCAAATTGTTGGTGGGGATGATTAGCCAAATTTTGGTTAACATTTAACCAGCAGTTTCGGCGATTACGTGTCTAATAAAAATAGATACAGACGGGAGACCACTTTTTCGTACTGTAGGGGTCATGAAACGTCGAGAAAACATAAGTGTTATACTTCCTTAGCTTACGCTCGTCAAGTAAAAATTTCAAATTTTGGCTACAGGGAAATCACTTTAGAGTGTTTCATCCGAAAGATTTATGAATTTAATTAAAATCAAGAATACAAGGGCTTACTAATAGTTTCTTGAAATACATACTTTATCTAACCAAAGAATGTTGAACAACATGCAACTGTGTAAAAATTTCTCAAATAATAAGAAAACTGAAGATTCGTTACTTTTGAGCGTGAACTTTTGACGTCTCTAAATTTTTTTTAAACTGGGAAACCATTTGATTGGAGCGTAAAAATAACTATAATCATCTCAAGAACTCTCGAAAATACAGGTAACACGTGTGGATTTCTAGAAAAGGTCTAAAAAGGTTCTATCTACAAATTAGAAATACAAATTGATCTTTTTTAGTGTTTTCGACAAATACCATTAGTTTTGAATTTATTTCATAAGTAGTTTCCACACTGTATAGAAAATATTACTAACTGATACTTTTTATTTTTACAAAAACTCTAGTACCATATACATTTTTTGACAACAAATTTAATAGTCACTCATCTTTTTGCGCTCAATGTTATAAAAAAAATATATAAAATTAGTTTTAGTGAACGAAAATTCCATATTGGAAGATTTACAGAACCTAAACTGTATACAAAAAATATCAAATATCGAAGAGGAAAAAATTATTACCAATCGTTAAAAGTCATTTTCCAAAATCAGTCTTATTTTGCAGATTTTATATTTTGTATGTATGTTTCTAATAAGTTTTTACTTTACAAAATTTTGTGATGACGTCAAATATCATTTTTGCAAATCAATAAAATAATCTATTCATGCAAATTAAAAAAAAAAAAATGCAACGATAAATCACAAGTATAGAGTTATCATAATTTGCACAATTTATGTAGATAGTATTTATTCGGCAAAATTTTGACATGACATCATCAATTTTTCATGGGGATAAAGAGATGTGTTTTGATTAAAAATTTTCCATGCTTACAATCACTTCAAACCGTCTGCAAAATTTCAAGGCATTCGGTTCTGCAGTTCTTGATTTAATCAATAAAATAAATTGAGTTATATTTTTTGCATCACCCTGTATAATCAAATCGAAAAAATATGAATGCAAACTGATATTGAATGATACAAAAAGCAAAATAAGAATGAGAAACGATACTGCAAACAAAACTCAGGCGGCAGCTCTTTGTGTAGGTGGCTGCCTGGCTGCAAGTCATAAATTAGTGGAACGACCAGAAGTGGCCAATTTTGCATTTTGCACAATCTCGAGATCATACATATGTGTCAACAGACGGTTCAAAATCGTATTTTTGTAATAACCAAATTAAAAACAAATAAATTTTATTTTCCGTTACACTTTGGCCAGAAGGGGTCCCTTAACTTCAAGGGCCTGATAGTCAAGCATCACAAGCAAATCTAAAAAATTGATCGAAAGTTATTTCGACAGAACTTTCCTCGCGTCTGAAGTACAGTTCAACAATTCCTAGTTCTCCGAAAAATGATAAATTTTGATTCTGTGGAATTTTACTTTTTGGTGATAACCTGTACGGAGTATAAACAATATAGAAGGTACCAGTCACAGTGTAATAGAAAAAAAAGGTTTCACCTTCTTAAAAAAAGACAGTTGAGAGCCCCGAGAAGGTTTCACATTCTTAAAAAAAAAAAGATTTTTGGGGCCCCCGAAAAGGTTTCACATTTTTTAAAAAGACAGTTGGGACCCCCGCCCTCCAGAAGCTTTCAAATAAAAAAAGACATAAGCCCCCCCCGAGAAGCTTTTACATTTTTAAAAAAAGACATTTGGGATCCCCGAGAAGGTTTCACATTCTTAAAAAATACATTTGGGACCCCCGAAAAGGTTATACATTTTTAAAAAAGACAATTGGGACCCCCGAGAAGGTTTTACATTTTTAAAAAAGACAAGTGGAACCCCCGAGAAGGTTTGACATTTTTAAAAAAGACATTTGGGGCTCCCGAGAAGGTTTTATATTTTTAAAAGGCAGTTGGGACTCCCGAGGTTTCACATAAAAAAAAAACATTCGGGGCTCCCGAGAACGTTTTACATAAAAAAAGTTGGGACTGCTGAGAAGGTTTCACATTAAAAAAATATAGATTTGAGACCCCCGAGAAGCTTTCACATAAAAAAAAAATATATCTGGCGCCCCCGAGTAGGTTTTACAATTTTAAAAAACACAGTTCGGAACCCCGAGAAAGTTTTAATTTTTTAAAAAAGAATGTTGGGACCCAGGAGAAAGTTTCACATTCTTAAAAATATCCATTGGGGCCCGTGAGATTTTACATTTTGAAAAAAGTCAGTTGAGACTCCCGAGAAGGTTTCACATTGAAAAAAATACATTTGGGGCTCCCGAGAAGGTTTTACATTAAAAAAAAAGTTGGGGCTCACGAGAGGGTTTCACATTCTTAAAAAAAGACATTTGGGCCCCCGAGAAGGTTTCACATTAAAAAAAAATACATTTGGGACCCCCGAGAAGGTTTCACATTAAAAATAAAAGACATTTGGCGCTCCCGAGAAGGTTTTACATTTTTAAAAAGGCAGTTGGTATCCTCGAGAAGGTCTCACATTAAAAAAAATACATTTGGTACCCCCGAGAAGGTTTCACATAAAAAAAAATACATTTAGGACCCCCGACAAGGTTTCACATTCTTAAAAAATACATTTGGAGCTCCCCAAAAGGTTTTACATTTTTAAAAAGACAGTGGGGACTCCCAAGGTTTCACATTTAAGAAAATACATTTAGGGCTCCCGAGAAGGTTTTACACAAAAAAAGTTGGGACTGTCGAGAAGGTTTCACATTAAAAAAAAAATAGATTTGAGACCCCCGAATAGGTTTTACAATTTTAAAAAAGACATTGGCCGCCCCCGAGAAGGTTTTATTTTTTTAAAAAAGAATGTGGGACTCCGGAGAAAGTTTCACATTTTTAATAAAATCCATTGGGGCCTCTGAGATTTTACATTTTAAAAAGAGACAGTTGAGACTCCCGAGAAGGTTTCACATTGAAAAAAATACATTTGGAGCTCCCGAGGTTTTACATTAAAAAAAAAGTTGGGGCTCTGAGAAGGTTTCACATTCTTAAAAAAAGACATTTGGGCCCCCGAGAAGGTTTTACATTTTTAAAAAATACAAGTGGGACCTACGCGAAGGTTTCACATTAAAAAAAAAAAATACATTTGGGAGCCCCGAGAAGGTTTCACATCAAAAATAAAAGACATTTGGCGCTCCCGAGAAGGTTTTACATTTTTAAAAAGGCACTTGGTATCCTCGAGAAGGTATCACATTAAAAAAAAATACATTTGGGGCTCCCGAGAAGGTTTTACATAAAAGAAAGTTGGGAGCGTCGAGGTTTCACATTAAAAAAAAAAATAGATTTGAGACCCCCGAGAAGGTTTCACATAAAAAAAATATCTGGCGCCCCCGAGTAGGTTTTACAATTTTAAAAAAGACATTGGCCGCCCCCGAGAAGGTTTTATTTTTTTTAAAAAAGAATGTTGGGACCCCGGAGAAAGTTTCACATTCTTAAAAATATCCATTGGGGCCCCTGAAATTTTACATTTTAAAAAAAGACAGTTGAGAATCCCGAGAAGGTTTCACATTGAAAAAAATACATTTGAAGCTCCCGAGGTTTTACATTAAAAAAAAAGTTAGGGCTATGAGAAGGTTTCACATTCTTAAAAAAAGATTGGGCCCCCGAGAAGGTTTTACATTTTTAAAAAATACAAGTGGGACCTCCGAGAAGGTTTCACATTAAAAAAAATACATTTGGGAGCCCCGAGAAGGTTTCACATCAAAAATAAAAGACATTTGGCGCTCCCGAGAAGGTTTTACATTTTTAAAAAGGCACTTGGTATCCTCGAGAAGGTTTCACATTAAAAAAAAATACATTTGGGGCTCCCGAGAAGGTTTTACATAAAAAAAAGTTGGGACCGCCGAGGTTTCACATTAAAAAAAAAAAAATAGATTTGAGACTCCCGAGAAGGCTTCACATTCCTAAAAAATACATTTGGAGCTCACCAGAAGGTTTTACATTTTTAAAAAGACAGTGGGGACTCCCAAGGTTTCATATTTAAGACAATACATTTGGGGCTCCCGAGAAGGTTTTATATTAAAAAAAAGTTGGTACTCACGAGAAAGTTTCGCATTTAAAAAAAAATACATTTAGGACTCCCGAGAAGGTTTCACATTAAAACAAAGACATTTGGCGCCCCCGAGTAGGTTTTACATTTTTCAAATAGACAGTTGGGACTCCCAAGAAGGTTTCACATTGAAAAAATACATTTGGGGCTCCTGAGAAGGTCTTACATTTTTCAAATACAGTTGGGACTCCCAAGAAGGTTTCACATTGAAAAAAATACATTTGGGGCTCCCGAGTAGGTTTTACATTTTTCAAATAGACAGTTGGGACTCCCAATAAGGTTTCACATTGAAAAAAATACATTTGGGGCTCCTGAGAAGGTCTTACATTTTTCAAATAGACAGTTGGGACT